ATGACAAGATAAAAGAGCTGAACCAAAGATTTCAAAGAGCAGCTCGAGAAGACAAAGCCAATTACTATAATGAAATGTGCAAAGACCTGGAGTTAAAAAACCAAAAGGGAAGAACACACTCAGCATTTCTCAAGCTGAAAGAATTGAGGAAAAAATTTAAGCCTTGAGTTGCAATATTGAAAGAGTCTATGGGCAAAATACTGAATGATGCAGGAAACATCAAAAGAAGATGGAAGGAATACACACAGTCACTGTACCAGAAAGAACTGGTAGATCTTCATCCATTTCAGGAGGTGGCATATGATCTAGAACCAATGGTATTGAAGGAGGAAGGCAAAGCTGCAGTGAAGGAATTGGTGAAGAACAAGGCTCCAGGAATTGATGGAATACCCATTGAGATATATCAACAAATGGATGCCCCATTGGAGGCACTCACTTGGTTATGCCAAGAGATTTGGAAGACAGCTACCTGGCCAACTGACTGGAAGAGACCCATTCCAAAAAAAAAGGTAATCCCACAGAATCTGGAAATTATCGAACAATATCGTTAATATTGCACGCAAGTGAGATCTTACTGAAGTTAATTCAAAAATGGTTGCAGCAGTAAAATTGACAGAGAACTTCCAGAGGTGCAAGCTGGATTCAGAAGAGGACGTGGAACAAGGGATATCATAGCTGCTGTCAGATGGATCTTGGCTCAAGGCAAAGAATATCAGAAGGATCTTTACTTGTGTTTTATTGACTGTGCAAAGGCATTTGATTGTGTGGATCATAACAAATTATTGATAACATTGAGAAGAATGGGAATTCCCGAACACTTGATTATACTCATGGGAAACCTTTACATTGACCAGGAGGCTGTTGTTCGAATGGAACAAGGAGACACCACATGGTTTAAAATCAAAAAGGGACTGTGTCAGGATTGTATCCTTTTCCCACATTTATTCAATCTATATGCTGAGCAAATAATCTGAGAAGCTGGACTATAGGAAGAAAAATGTGGCATCAAGATTGGAGGAAGAACACACTCAGCATTTCTCTGAACAACCTGAGATATGCTGACAATACATCTTTGCTTGCTGAAAGTGAGGATGACTTGAGGCACTTACTGATGAAGACTGAAGAATACAGTCTGCAGTGTGGATTGCGTCTCAATATAAATAAAACAAAAATCCTCACAACTGGACCAATAAGCAGCATCATGATAAATGGAGAGAAGTTGAGGTTGTCAAAGAATTCACATTGCTTGGTTCTACAATTGATGCCAGTGGAAACAGCAGTCAGGACTTTAGACGACGTGTAACACTGGGCAGGTTGGCCGTGAAGGAACTCTTGAAAAGTGCTGAGGAGTAAGGATGTGTCCTTGAGGACTGAGG